TCTGATACTTCGTTGGCGTGTATATAAGTTTGTGTTTAACTCGGATATTACTCAAATGTATAGACAAATACGTGTTCATCCGCAGCATTCGCCGCTTCAAAGAATTGTATTTCGTGATTCGATTACCAAACAGGTCCAAGATTATGAGCTGCAAACTGTGACCTTTGGTGTAAATTGTGCACCATATTTAGCAATTCGTACGCTTTTACAACTGGCAGATGATTCAGAGAACGAATTTCCTCTCGCTGCACATATTTTGCGAAAATGTATGTATGTTGATGACGTTTTAGCAGGAGCTCACGACCTCGAAACTGCATTGGCAGCTAGGGACCAGTTGATAATCGCACTTTCCTCTGCAAAATTTGAACTTAGAAAATGGACCGCCAATGACAAAACTATTTTGGCTCGTTTCCCCCCTGAACATTTGGTTGACGCTCAATTGTTATCGTTTGTTGAAGCTAGTAGTTCCAAACCCCTGGGCATTAGGTGGAATGCGCGTTTAGATTGTTTCTACTTTGAAGTCTGTTCAATTGGTGACAAACAAAAATATTCTAAGAGGGAAGTACTTTCGGCTATAGCGAAGCTGTTCGATCCCGTTGGCTGGCTAGCCCCAGTTATTGTTACGGCGAAAATGATTATGCAGAAGGTTTGGTTAGACAACATTGGTTGGGATGATTCGCTTTTGGCGGCTACTGAGGCCGAATGGAAAAGGTTTGTGCTATCATACCCCCATGTTAACTCCATAAGAATCCCTCGATGGGTTCAGTATGTTCCTGGATGTTCTTCTGAATTGCATGTTTTTTCCGATGCCTCTATAAAGGCATATGCGGGGGTAGTTTATATTCGTGTTGAGTCCCCAGATGGGAAAATTTTCGTCAATTTGCTATCGTGCAAAACAAAGGTCGCCCCATTAAAATCAGTATCGCTGCCTCGCTTGGAGCTTTGTGGAGCAGTTTTGGCTTCAGATCTTTTGAAAACTATAGTTCGGGAAATAGATATTGAATTCAATAGAATTTATTGTTGGACTGATTCCACTATAGTGCTTGGTTGGTTGAAGAAAACTCCCTCCACTTGGACAACGTTTGTCGCAAATCGTGTTAGTCGAATACAGGAAAATATTGGCAATTATAATTGGTACCATGTCAAATCTGAGGAAAATCCCGCCGATTTAGGTAGTCGAGGTACATCCCCGGCAGAATTGTCTGCCTCCCGCCTGTGGTGGCACGGGCCAAGTTGGCTAAGTAAAGATAAATCACAATGGCCTCTTCGAAATCTTGCGTTGATAGATACTGACCTCGAAATGCGAACTGTTCGTTCACATTTTTCGTTCTTTTCGCCTACATTTGAAGATATATTGTCAGACTTTTCAAATCTGGATAAAGCGCTTCGAATCCTTGCATATGTGTTTAGGTTCCTTCGCCAAACTCATCCCCGGTATAGAAACCATTATTATTACCCCCAAAAACAAATTTCTTCGTCGGAAATAAATGATGTTCGTAGTAGGTTGATAATTATTGCGCAAAAAGTATATTACACAGAGGATTACAAGAATCTAATTGATACAAAGTCGATATGTGGTAAGAGTCCTTTAGCCCCCCTAAATCCTTTCGTGGATGACAATGGAGTCATGCGGATGAACGGCAGATTGGCCGATTCACCAACCCTTGCATATTCTGAGCGTTATCCCATAATTATCCCCTATCGCAGTACTTTTGCTCTACGTTTGGTAGAATATACCCACCAGAAATGCGTTCACGGTGATATTCAGTTGATGTTGAGAACCTTGAGATTGGAATATTGGATTCCTCGTATGAAAAATCTCATTCGTCTCGTAGTTCGACGTTGTAAAGTATGTATTTTAATGAAGAAACGTTCTTGTAGTCAATTTATGGCTGCCCTTCCGCAAGAGAGAACAACCCTTAATCGGCCATTTACAAATACTGGTGTGGATTTCGCAGGACCATTTGATATAAAGTCCTATCTGGGTCGGTCCTGTCGCATTACAAAAGGCTACGTATGTGTTTTTGTTTGTTTCGCTACAAAAGCAATCCATTTGGAAGCAGTGTCGGACTTATCGACTGCTAATTTCTTGGCCGCCTTGCATAGATTTATTGCTCGTCGTGGTTGTCCCCATTCCATTTTTTCGGATAATGGAACAAATTTTGTTGGAGCTTCGCGGGAAATTCAAAGGAATTTCAAATATTTCTTACGAGAAAGTGCCGATTCAGTTTCCTCATCGTTGTCCCATCAGGGCCTATCGTGGCATTTTATTCCTGCTGGTGCCCCTCACATGGGAGGGTTATGGGAAGCTGGAGTCAAAAGCTTCAAAATGCATTTTCAAAAGCAAGCTCGAAATCTAAAATTCACGTTTGAAGAATTAGCGACAGTTTTGGCCAGAATCGAGGCATGTTTGAATTCTCGCCCCTTGTCTCCTATGTCGGAGAATCCAGATGACTTAGTCGCGTTGACGCCAGGTCATTTTTTGATTGGTGCCCCTTTGTTAGCACCCCCTGAACCTCTCATCACGGAGCAACCATTAAGTTTAGTTAATCGGTTTAGGAAAGTTCAGGCCCTCGCCCACCAATTTAGTTTGAGGTGGAAAGAGGAATATTTAAAACAATTACACATGAGATATAAGTGGAAATTTCCAGAACGCGAAATTGCTACTGATGATCTTGTCGTTGTTCGTCATGATCAGCTACCCCCGACTTCATGGAAATTAGGTCGTATAGAAAATGTTTATCCCGGTTCTGACGGTCACGTTCGAGTCGCCGACATTCGAACTGAAAACGGCGTTGTAAGACGGCCCATTACCAAGTTGGTCGTTTTAACCGACCACACTCCGGCGTCCCACTAAATTTTTTATCTTTTTATTAAATAGTATGTCCGCAAAAGTCTACACTGAGGAAGAACTTTTGAACGTTGAGGACGGTACGGAGACTGTTGGACCTCGTCCGAGCAAACCCCATGGTGGAATGTCATCGGCTGCAGTGGAGGCAGCTCTAGTTGACACAATAGCGGCTGTACAAATCTCAGAGCCTGGGTCCGAGTCTATTGCCATGGATTCATCTGCGGCCCTCGCATCTGCGGTTACACCCATGCAAACCGAGTCCGAATCCATATCTGTGGGTTCATCTGCGGCTCCGGTCCCTGTGTATACCCCCCCTATTGAAACCTCGCGAACCGAGTCCGGATCTTTGGATCCATCTGCGGCTCCGGTTGCCACTTCTCATTCGGAGGAGTCGGCCTCAAATTCAAGGTCCGAATCTACCTTTGATGATTCATCTGCGGCCTCACATAAATGTCGCCTTTGTGATCGCATGCACCCGCTGGATAGATGTAGTGACTTCCGGGTTATGAATGCTGATATGCGAAGAAGAATAGTTCTAAAATATAATGACTGCATACGGTGTCTTGCTAAATCCCACCATGCCAAGGACTGCCAAAGCAAAAGAAAATGCGCTGTATGCAATGAAGAGCACCACACACTTCTTCATGACGAAAAGAAGACCGTGGCTAGACCATACAATAATCGTCGGCGTCGTCCGCATAATGATTACCGAAATCGTCCGAGATCAAGTCCGTATAGTCGTCCGACTGAAAATGTGTCCAGCACACAACTAGGTCTTTTAGGCTTTATGTCCCTTCAGACTGGAATAAGTTTATCCCCGACATTGATTGTCAAATTGGCTTCGTCCGGCCGTCCCACTGTCGTACGGGCGGTATTGGACCAGTGTAGTAGGCAGAGTCAGATATGTGCCTCTCTGGTTCGTAGTCTTCGGCTCCCTACTTCCCAAATCGATGGTAGCCACATATGTAGGCTGACCCTTAGCTCTATTTATGACCGGAGTCAGTCCATATCAATTGTAGCAGTGGTGAACAATTTGGACCATGCGTTTACGCCTACAGCGGCGATTCCCGATCGCATTAAGGACTCTTTTCTTGGTCTTCCTTTGGCAGATCCTGATTTTAATAGGCCTGGTCGGGTGGCCTTGGTACTCGGGCCGGAAGTCTATGCCAGGGTCATAACACATCGGGTGCAAGCGACGCCAGGGTTACCGATAGCCCATTATACCATATTTGGTTGGGTTTTGTCGGGCATATGTAACGTGTAGCGTTACAAAATGTTTTGAAAAAGAAAAAAAATGAATTGAATTGAAAAAATGTTTTGAAAGAAAAAAAAATTAAATTAAAAAAAAAAAAAATGAATTATTAAAGAAAATTAAAAAAAAAAAAAAAAATATTGTATTTAGTTACAACATCTCAATATGTTGTAAAGTGGCCGGCATGTATAATTTCGATATTAAATTATATTTTGTTGTCGTACGTTACAATGGGTTAACGCATAATTATTCATTTAGAGCATCGTTGAAATCTGTCAAATGTCAACAGATTTCAACGAGTGGCGAATTGCGCCAAAGCCGCCGCTTTACTTCATATTCCGATGGTTGCCTTTTTTTGTTGTTGTTGATTGATCCGCTCTTGTATCGTGTCGACATTAAGTTCGCGCTCCCCGCATATTGTTGCACACAGGTAATATTGTTTACCAAAATCCGAATTACTATTATTATTAATAAAACTCGGCTTCTGCCTTTATATTTATACATAAAAACTAATTGCGTTTTTATTTATTTATTTTGTGGTGATATTGGTTTCTCCCCCTTTTTTCATTTACCCCGCATTGGCGCAAACATAAGGTTTAAAGATAGTCTGTCGGACCACTCATTCTGGTATCTGGTCATATAATCCAAACATATATTTTACGGCGAACATGGTTACAGTGTTACCTCCCTGGTTACAGTGTTGGCAAATTATAAATCTCTCTTGAAATGAGACTTCAAATGTTATTAAAAATCAGTTTCACAAATTTTTCTTATTTTTGTCTTGTCTTGTAATTTTTTTCAAACATCCAACACTGCTGCGAATATAATGAAGTAAAGAATTATATTTAATTTAAATGTATATAAATATTATTATCATATTTTGTAAATAAATTTAATTTATTTTACTTTTATATTTACAGGTGGCGACCATGATGTCGTGTCCCCTTCCTATGTCATTATCCATAATTCCAAAGATACACAGTGATTTCTCGCCAGTACATATTGGAGTTAAGGTAAGTTTCAATATGAAATGTGTAAAATATTGTTTGAAATTTTTGGGAAATCCCTATAATATTCCAAAATCGGGATAGGGGTGGGGCTACAACCCATACAAAATTTTTAATGTATATATCCATTTTTCTGAGAACTAGGAATTGACGAGAATTTCCACACCATAGTTTTTTTATTTTTAAATACCTATATTTCGATATATTTATACACAATCCCTTCGAAAATTTAGAATTAGTATATTACCGCCATCGTCCTTTCTAGAGTCCTCGGCGTGTATATCAAGAACCCAGAATGACAAATACTCAAAGGCCAAGTTTTTATGTTATGGTGAGATCCATTTTTTGCTGGTAACCCTACCGCATAATTCATAAGCAAATTGCTGTATATCGTCGTTTGTAGAGATTTATGTTATTTTTGATTCAAATCCAATAAGGAATATTTTTTAAGACGGGTGCCTGTGCGTCGTATTTCACCTTATTTTCTTTAACCGTAAACTAATTACCATATGTAGTCCTTGAAGACAATAAACCTTTGTACATTAAATAAATTTCGTATAAATTATAGATTCTGAAGAATTGATCGATTGGTCTGAAATATTTACCATAAATACATATCATTATGCCAATGACGTTAATAACACTAATTAGCGCATCACAGATCCATTTCCCTAACATTTTGAACCGGGGTTTCCAAAAAGAAAACGTTTTTTTGTATCGGTTTCAACTGACCGATTGACAACATTCTGAAGGCAATCTTAAAAATAAAAAAACCAAGAGATTATGTTGTTGAAAACATCTGAGTTATCCATTCCGTTTATAAACTCCCCTATAAAGTGACCCCTATAAAGCGTATACCCCTCAATATTCGGTATTTTGGTGGTGGCTGTAATTTAGTATTATGGGTTTTTGGGTAGCCGCTATTTAATGGTACCCCCTAGTATTGGGTATTTGGCTATAATTTGATATTTTGGGTTCTCATTGTATAGAAAATCTCAGTACAAAAAATTATTAATATTGTAGCCGTCATATTGTGGTGCCCCTCAATATTCTGTAGTTTTCTAATTTTGGGCTCGTTTCTTAACCGAATTGGCTGTTATTTCGTATTTTGGGTTCTCATTGTATATCAGAACTCCGTACAAAATATGAATATTAATATTGGCCCATGTTTCAGGATAGCCCTCATAGAACGGTACACCCAATAATCGGTATTGTGGAAATTTTACACAGGGGTTTCAATTAAATTGGGTGTAAACATTATCAATATCGATCCCCGTTTTAGTATAGCCCTACTATACTATATTTTGAGAATCACATTTTCACACAACTTTTTCCGTATGTTCAAGGGATCCTATCATAAGATGCAATTTCTTCTAGGAGCCCCCCATTAATTATAGATATTTTGAATTTCATCCTCATGGTGGAGGGTATAAAAAGTTCGGCCCACCTTAACATCTTTTTAAATTGTTTGCATTAAGATTTTCACTCTCTACCTACTTAAAACGCAAAATCAGAAATGGTTTGTGTGACGAATTTTTAGATTTTCGACTGTCAAAAAGGTGTAAACGTCGAAAACGTCATATATCTGTATAAAATGTAGTAATCGTCATGTATTTCAATATTATCACCATATACAGTTATTTTCAAGAATATATATTATTTTTGCATATATCTAATTATTCCTTACTAGAACAGATAAAAATTCTACACTTTTTTGACAAGTAAATTTTGAAAATTGATATGAATTTTAGTAAGGCATGGATTGATTAATGGAAATACCTTTTTTTCAAAAACCTAATGCTTATGGGTGGATTTCCGACGTATCTATTATACGACGAAATTGTATGTAATTTACGTCAATGCATTTATGTAAATTACGTCAATGTTTCAAACGGGCCAGCTCTGCGCAAAATACAGATTAAGACAATGTGGATAGCGCTAGTATGAAGTTGGACCGATATAGCTCATCTTTGAACATAACCTTCTTTCGGGGTGGTATAACACCATTTACACGGACATGACTAAAATTCGCTAATACTGGTACATATTAGGTTGGGGGAAAAGGAATGTATTATTATTTCGGCAGATGGCTGTACTGATAGATATCTCGTAAAGTATCGATCAAACAATTTCAGATTTATGTTCGTTGGGTGTCATTTCGCAGTAAAAAAAAATATTTTGTTTTTTTTTTTCTATGGCGCATTCAGTTGTGAGTTATTTTACAGTTTTTTCTTTAACAAAGGCGAAAAAGCAAGCCAAGCGGCTAAAATTGTGAATGATGTTTATGGCTCCGTTACTGTAACAGTCAATTATGTGCAATTTGGGTTTCGTAGAATCCGTTCAGGATATTTTGATGTTAAAGTTGCACCTCGCACTGGTATGCCGGTCGTCAAAAATGTCGAGAAAATCGGAGAAATGATCGAAGTTCTCCGGCATGTTAGCAGTCGTAACATCGCCCAGGAGCTGAAAATCGAGCGTAAAACTGTTTACAATTGACCAGAAACAACCAACAAGAAACAACCGTGTTCCACCAGAACAACGATAGGCTACACACATCTACAGCGACTCGCCAGAAACTTCGGGAGCTTGGTTGGGAAGTTTTAATGCATCCGCCACATAGTTCGGTCTTGGCACCAAGCATTTATCATATTTTTCTTGCATTGCAAAAATTCTTTAATGATAAAAAAATGGGATCTAGGGAGGATTATGAAAATCGACTACTCGAAGTTTTTGCAAATAGAGAGTCCTGCTCTCTTTTGTGAGAGAGACATTATTAAGTTACCTTTAAAATGGCAACAAATCATACAACAAAACGGTGCATATTTCCAAATCGGACATTCCGAAGCATGTTAAATATATTGTTAAAATCGACACTTATGGTAGACACTAAAATAAATCCACCTGTATGATGGTCTTAGATTTCGAATAGCCCCATATATAGGGTATATTTCCAAACATGATTCGGAACTTTATCCTTTAGTTACTATAAGGTAATATCAATGCTTATGTAAAATCCTAGGTTTAGGTAGAGAAATTGAATTCAAATTGAGAATCAATTAGTATTCTTCCTCGATGACTTATTTGATTGCGTAATCAGATTTTAGATTTAAATGTAATAAATTGTATAAGTAAATATTCCAAATATTTAAATATTCGGTCAGTCATGAATTATTGATACAATAATCTAGATCCCAATATAAACATATGGGCTCATCGGAATTAGTGGAAGGTTATTTTCGAAATTCTAGTATATTCATACTTACTGATTATTTTAGTCCGAAACTTTTTTTGTTCTACATAAAGTGCCTTAGAAGGTCTTCTCTAAATCGATATATGTTCATTTTTTATCTTCCTATAAGAAAACATTAATGTCCTAATCGCGATACAATAACAGCTAAAGTCAAGGCAAATGCGTCATTGTGTTACACTCAAAGTGCAAAGAAAAGTAAAAACATTTTACCCCAACATTTTTATTGACATAGGAATTGCAAAGTTTTGTTTTCTTTATTTTTATTTATTATTGTTGTTTTTAAACTTTTCTTCTTTTCTACATAAACATTTACCTATGAATATACATAAAAACACACGCACTCACACACACGAATACAATCTTCACAATCACTTTCACCAAAAACGAAAACAAATTTGTATTTGTTTTTATTTCTCGAACGAAGGAGCGCAAACCGAACGACAATCCTTTTAGAGTGCCAAAAATTTATGCAAAAAGCTTTTAGTCACAAATTTGTTGCTATTTGTTTGTCTGCCGATGATGTCGTTGTTTTTGTTCTGACTATTGTCGTCTGATTCTTCCCAACCTCCACCCACCACTTGTTCACATTTATTCATACATTTATCCTCCATGTATGAAAAGAGGAAACCAAATGTCTTCGAGTCTCTCCCTCGGTTTGGTTATCTACATACATGCACACATATATTTACATTTAAATATGCAAATAAAATTGTTAAACAATTGTGGTAGTGAAGAGGAGATATATTGCCAACAATTCACATCCTTTTGGCGGTCTTTGTCATCCACATATGCGAGATGTCTATGTGTGTGCGTCTTCTTTACGTCAAAGTCTCATAAGTGCCCTATATCCTTCATACTGAACCACTTAGAGATGCGTTCACATATCATCCACTTAAATTGTAGGTATATTTGTGTTGTGTCTGTGTGTGTATTTGATTGGACTAGTATTGGAAATTCTCTCATTATCATTGTAACGCCAAAAAGTATGCCATAAATTTCGTCACGTGCATAGAGATGCAGCAATACCCGCTGCTTGTCATTCATACATTCATTCATTCGTTCGCACACTTAGGCAGTCAGTCAGCAACTACATTGGCATTCGTTGATAGGCGGCACATGTGCATGCACATATTTATCCGCCACCCTTCAACATCATGCATATCGCGAATTTTTGCATTTTTTTCTTAGTCATTTATGTTATGGGCGCTTTGGGAGTTCCCAAATATATGTACGGAAGAGGCACAGTGTTGCGAAATTAAAATTTATTTTTTTTAAAGAATATTTTTGAAAAGGACCATCCAACAAGGCGTGGATTTTTTAAAGAATATTTTTTCAAGGACCATCCAACAAGGCGTGGATTTTTTAAAGAATATTTTTGAAAAGGACCATCCAACAAGGCGTGGATTTTTTAAAGAATATTTTTTCAAGAACCATCCAACAAGGCGTGGATTTTTTAAAGAATATTTTTTCAAGGACCATCCAACAAGGCGTGGATTTTTTAAAGAATATTTTTTCAAGGACCATCCAACAAGGCGTGGATTTTTTAAAGAATATTTTTTCAAGGACCATCCAACAAGGCGTGGATTTTTTAAAGAATATTTTTTCAAGGACCATCCAACAAGGCGTGGATTTTTTAAGGAATATTTTTTCAAGGACTATTTAAGGCGTAGATTTTTTAAGGAAAACATTTCCAAGGACTATTTAAGGCGTAGATTTTTTAAGGAAAACATTTCCAAGGACTATTAAAGGCGTGGAT